AAAAGACAAGACAAGACAGTATTTTCAGGACTCAGAACCCTTGGATATGGAGGGCTGAGTTCACGCGTATGATTCTACAGCGCCAACTGTAGAGGTTAGCATCCTTGGATTTTGGTTTCCAAGAGAAGTCTGGAACCAATCCGCTACAGATACCAAGCAACAATTGTACTATCATGTTGAATATTGATATAATGGTGACTTGCCTTAGGGTAGATTTGAGGCTTGATAAGTCTGTTTGTACAAAATTAATTTATTTTCTTCTTGTTACCAAAGCAAGATGAATAAAGATAAGCTTGTTTAACACCTTGGTGTATATTCTTTGAGACCATTTTCCGTACACACACACATTTTTAATGTAATCATAATGTATGTACTCTTTTATAATCTTTTTTTACTGAAAACATTACCTTAAGTGTTTAAGCACATGTTAAGGGCTACATAATATCCTTTAATATATACACACCATTATTTATTTAATGGAGTAAGTAAGGGAGACAAACATCTATTTTTTTGCTATTTGCAACTGTATTTTATATTTTGAGGAATATTCTTGTAGCTAAATCTTTGCAAGCATTCTTAATTATTTCCTTAGGAAACCTTTCTAAAAATGGAATTGCTTGATATATATTGCAAAATTGCCCTTCAGAAAGGTCTAACCAGTTTACAGTCCTACCAGAGGTTTGTGAAGGTATCCATTTTCCTTTACATTTGGCATTTGCTGTCCTACAAAAATGTTTAATTATTAAATGCATATAATAACATTACAAAAAGTAGGAAAATGGAAGAAATCACCTAGAATGCTATTTCCCTAACATGGCTATGATTATAATATTTGTTATAATAGTATAGGCTTCTGTCGTATATATAAATAGTTGTAATTATACAGTTTTTTTCTGCTTTTTAAAATGTATTAAGTATTTTTCCTCACCTTTATTGGCCTGCATTATTTTAGTTTTTAATTGGTACATGATAATACAGTAAGTATTCATATTTATCTAACTCCTCCCCTATTCCTGGATAAGTTACTGCCAATTTTTACTACATATAAATAAAAATACAGAGAGAGCTACCATAACTAACATTCACTATGAAACAAGCTTTGTACTATGTGCTTTTTCCTTTTTATTATTTTCTTCAGATTAATATCCAGGATTGGTAATATCAGACCATGAACACTTTTATGGCACAGTTTTTCTTCCTATGTCACCCTTTCCTTTCTTATTTCTTTCTACCTTTACACATTTATTGGAAACCTAGTGTGTAGCAGGCACTGTGGTAAGAGGCAGTGAGAATACAAAATGAATTTGGTGGAGACCTTGGAGTCAGACATTAAACATATATAATAAAGAGTGGGCTGGGTGCAGTGGCTCATGCCTGTAATCCCAGCACTTTGGGAGGCTGAGGTGAGTGGATCACCTGAGGTCAGGAGCTCGAGACCAGCCTGACCAATATGGTGAAGCCCCATCTCTACTAAAAAGACAAAAATTAGGCAGGGCGCGGTAGCTCACACCTGTAATCCCAGCACTTTGGGAGGCCAAGGTGGGCGGAACACGAGGTAAAGAGATTGAGACCATCCTGGCCAACATGGCGAAAACCCATCTCTACTAAAAATACAAAAGTAGCTGGGCATGGTGGCATGTGCCTGTGGTCCCAGCTACTTGGGAGGAATCGCTTGAACCCAGGAGGTGGAGGTTGCAGTGAGCCGAGATTGTGCCACTGCACTCCACCAGCCTGGCGACAGCGCAAGACTCCGTCTCAAAAAAAAAAAAAAAGAAGAAGAAGAAAAAGTAGATACAGCTACCTCTGCTAGAGAAGGAATGGGGAATCAATCTTGGTTATATTCTTGGGGCTCCCATAACTGCTTCTGGGGTCTTATGCAATGCCAAGCCTTGGGAAGGTGTTGAGGAGGATCTTTCTCCTTTACTTGCTCCACCACTCCTCTCCTCCTCCCATCAGTAGTTCTCAGCCCTGGCTGCACTTTATAATACCCAGGGAAGGAGAGAAGAACAGAAGGGGAGATGGGAAGAACAAAGAGATAAAAAGCTAAGCCCATGTACAACATCCCAGAGATACTGATGCAGTTATCATGGAGCGAAGGAGACCAGTAAAATTGAGATGTCCTTTGAAACATTTCATAAATTGCTTTATCATGTTATTGATGTTACAAAGCATATCTCTCCCCTGAAGTACTTTTAGCAACCACTATTTGTTGACCACTTATTACATGTCAGACACTTCTCATATTTTATATTGCCTAATCCTAACAAGCCTGCAATACAGGCATTTTTTCTAACATTATAAAAATTTTCCAACATATAGAAAACTTGCAATGTTCCATGAATAAATCATATATCCACCACCAACCATAGTCTATGGGATATTGCTCTATGTACAGTATCCCATATCTATCCATCAATCCATCTTACTTTTATATAGTTAAAAGTAAGTTGCAAAATAAGATAGGCATTTTAAAACTTTTACAACCATTTAAAAGCATTTCACACACAAAAAGAACCAAAGCTGGGAGAGATTAAATAACTTTCCTCAAGGCACACAGTGAGTTCAAAGAGCCAAAATTGAAACTCAGGTCTAACTTGACACAAATTGGCTCAAGCCTATATGTATGCTGTATATACCTGGTTAACAGTGGAATTTTTGCTTGTTTAATTAAAGAAAATGATCACTGTGCATGATGCCCAATTCCATATTTTTATATTTATAATGAAACCTTCATCTATAAAAACATTGTCTTATATAAGCCCAATTGTTGGTGAAGCCAAGATTCTGTCTGAATAGCATTTTTTTTTTTGAGACAGGATCTCACTCTGTTGCCCAGGCTGGAGTACAGCTTCAACCTCCCAGGCTCAAAATTATTCTCCCACTTC